AACAACATATTACTAAACCTGAAAAGTTTACAAAATATCTTATTGGACACCATCACTAATGTGTTTTATGGAAAATTTAATATTCATCTGTTAACGCCTGGCCAGCTTAAAGATGAACTGAACATTATTTCAAGTCAAGTATCAAGAGAACTATCACTTCCCTATGAAAATATCAATACTGATCTGCCAAAATTATATCAAACCATGAAGGTACGAGCAAGATTCAATAGGCAGTTTCTTATCTTGGAAATAAAAATTCCATTAGTAATTAGAGAAAATTAAGAGCTATACAGGTTGATACCTATTCCACCTCAAGAGCATAATCTCTCACTACGGGATGTTGGCAAAATTTCCGTGTATAACGGAACAAGTCCATATTGAAAAAAAAAATGTAACATGGTCAGCATAATTCCGATATCACATTATGTAGCCAACAACATCCAAAAGGAGTCATTTGTGCCTGTGACAACACAAGAGTGTTTACAATATGATATTAAGAAACTCATTTGCCCGCTGAAAGGCTCTATTTATGAATTAAAGGCAAAATCTGACCTAAACGTCATCGATCACATCACTCGCAAGTGTAAAACTGACATCGCCTTCTGTAATAATAATTGGCTAGAAATAAGCGCAAGCAATACCTATTTATTTTTCTATTTTAATCAGTGTAGAACAAAAATCGTATGCGATGAAGAAATAAGAGCTGAACATCTTCACAGTGCTGGAATTTTAAACCTAAGAAAAAAATGCATAATCAATGGAGAATCATTTACGTTGTCTACACAGCAGTCCCCATCGAGCGACCTAAATATTCAAGCAGATATACCTTTATTTGAAACGTATTTAATTTATCATTACCAATAATAAATTTATACCGTGGGAGAGCCACGCTTCGTCAAGAATGGGCCAGCTCGACCGGAGTGATACCACGGCCTCTCAGAAAACCGACGTGAAGCAACGCTTGCGTTGTGTTTCGTCGTGTGAGTGAGGGCACCGGAGGCCCAACCCGCCCTTCCCTCCCTGTCCCTCAAAGTCCAGCAGCGCGCTTGTAGCCCCTCTGGTGTTGCAGGTGTCCATAGGCGACGATAATCACTTACCATTAGGTGGTCCGCCTATTTATCTGCCCCCTATCCCATAAAAAAAATAGTAATAATAATAATACAAGACGAAAATGAACCATACAAGATGAATGAAAGTCTTTTCGAACACATCAAACAACAAATCAAACAAATGCAGTCGGATAGCATTTAAGTGAATCAAGTTTCCTATCACGACATATTGTACATAATTATGTCGCCATTTATGTCGTCGTTGCAGTACTTCTGTAACCGCACTCTAGTTACTTCTTCATTAAACAAAAACATCGAAGCTGCTACAATACATACGAGACGATTTCCCGCGTCAGCGACTGAGCCTACACCACGTGTACGACTTACGATGCACCAGCCATCAGCTAGCAATCATACTCATACGCCTCAAAATCCACAAGAGGAAGATCATCAGCTCAGGAGCTGAGATGACATACAAAGCAGCGGGAGCTCCACAGCAAAACCAACAACGACATTTCAATTTTCCCGCATCAACTAATTTATTTTTATTGCTAACGTAAATTTTGTATGTAAATCATTAATGAAATGTGTCTTCTTATCAAACAATCATAGCCTTTACGTTTATCTCCTGGTCGGGAATATGTACGATACATGCATCGTACATTTCTCCAGTAAGCATTTTATTTATTATCCGCAATTAAAATTAATATTTTAACCTACTTTCACTTCAGTATGTTGCAATATGTACTCCACAGAAATAAATCTAGTTAGAAGGAACATGTTCGTCGATTTATATGGAGACCGAGCGTGCCACATTTTGTGTAGGTATCATGACGTCACGATCTTAATTTAGTGATGGAAGACATAATTTCACTTGCATCGAATACATGTTGTATTTGAAACGGCATACCGATTCTTATCGATTGAAATAACGATATCGATCGACGGAGACCAACGTGTACAGTCTGTCTATAAAGTCATGAAAAGAATGTTTGAGGAACTAACATTAGACACAAGTATGACAACACTGAATCAAACTGAAGCTACTTCTTCTAAATTCCGTCGAAAAGTGTTAAAAATGAAGAGAATTTATCAGAGTGAAGCTCAGGATATTATTATAAAGTTTTTCAGTGATGTTTATTGGAACAAGAAGTTGGACACATTTTATCATATTTGTAGGATGTTAAAGCTCGAACGGCAGTTATGGCTGGTATGTAATCGTGTTACTGATTGAGTTTTGGTTACCAGAAGTTTCAAATTTACTAAATATATGAATTTAAGTGTAAAAGAAGTATTGATTACATTATGCATTTATAGGTTAGATTGAAAATGTTAGAAGGCTATATTGTAGTGCGGCCCGAACTTTCAATACTTTTGGATAATCAAATTTATCATTGATTTTAATCTGAATAAAAAATATACCTGTTAGGAATGTACGATTTTTACCTACGTACGCCAATAAAAAGTTTGTGTTTTATATTACTAAAATTATAGCATTAATTTGATCATTGTGGCGATTCCATTCTTTTTGCCAAATACATATAGGTATTACATTTTTAAAACTTACTTTCAGGAAAATCAGAGAATATAGTGATACATATTGTAGATGAAGGTTCTAAAAATGGTGGCATATTTGAAACCCCTGGGAAACATAGATAATCGTCCTAAAAAATTAATTGTTAACTGCAACATTTGTGCACTTCGACAAAAGATTCAGTTCTTTTACTCTGTGAAAAAAAGAGGTACCTACATGAAGAAAACATCAGTGGATTGCCAAAACTGATCTGGATTTTAATTGTAGCCTAGAAGTTCTGCGTTAAATTCTGAAATATATTGGGTTTTCTTACAAGGAGTGTCAAAGTAACAGGCTTTAATCGAACACAAGCACACATTGCAGTAAAACGAGAAAACAACTTGGCAATTATAAAAAAAAGATTTATCAAAAATTACGATTACTATATTGTAATCTTCAATGTAGAATAAACTCATTGTCTACGAATTATACGCCTTTCTTTACCTTTTCTGGGATAATAAAAGTAAAAAAAAAAATCCTACTATCAAAATCATTTGTCTCACTACACAGGGTTGCTACGTGCACGATCGCAGCGCCCTCAATTTTTTTCATGACTTTATAGACAGACTACCATTTTGCTTAAATATTATGTATATGTCAAGAATTCACGAATGTAATTTAATATGGCAAAAGACTGAGGAGACAATCTCCTCAGTCTCCATGCACGCCCTGCTCAGAGGACTGTCAGAATAACCCATGTTATATAGGTGTTTGTTAAAGTTTCCATGTCCAGTAAGTATACCTACTATTTGCCTTAGAGTCTTGTTGCTTCAATCCATTTATTTTTAATATTAGGATCATACGGAAAACTAAAACAAAAATTACAGTATGATTCAATATATAATTAATTATCCTTTCTTCTGCTTTCAAAAACGATATATTTTTAATCGGGTAAAAAAATCGCATTGTACAGCACTATTCTCCATTTTTGACAGAAAAAAATGATAATTTGTCCTCCAACAAATTGACCTTGAATTATACATCGATGGTTTTTACGAGCACAGCAAATTTGGACTGTCAAATTAAAGCCGCAATGGAAAGCTATTACTGGACACATGACCGTTTTGATAAAAATAATACGGAGCAACAAAACTAATGATTTTTAATTCAAAATAGATATATCAAGGCAAATAGTTACTTACCGATGGAGGGAAATACCTCGACTATAAGATCCAACCATATTGGTGGTGTTTGAGCAGGTAATTATCGAACAACGCATCATTTTAAATTTCGTCCAACACCGATTGCGATCGAAAGTGGACTGAGCCTCGCGGCGAGCAATGAAGCTGTCTAGACGTCGTTTCGGCACGCGAAGTACGTACACTTTTTCCTTCTAACTAGATATATTTCTGTGATGTACTCCTAGCTAGTATCATTACCTTGGTTCTTATAAATAAATAGTTATCGGTTAAATCAGTGTTTCTATCAAGATTAACATATCATGATCATCATCATAATCAGCTAAAGGTGTACAGACCGTACAAAATATTTAAGATGGAATCATTCACAATGTTATAGTAAAACTATAGAAATGAAATAACATTGTGAATGATAGTTTATCAAGTATAATATTCTTTTTCTTTTTGAATTGAAGTAAATAAAAAATAAGTACAGTAGAAGCTCCTTACTTATGGCCTCATTATTCGCGTAGGAAATAGTTATTTAAGATACGAGTGCGGAAAGTAAGGTTTTACGAATAAGGGCCAAATTGAAAACACGAGCGTAGTTAATAAAACTAAGTATGTATTAAAGGTAAAAATTATTTGTTAAAATTAAACGTGATATTTGAACATGTTTTCGTGTCATATTTTATTTGAAAATATTCGTTCTAGGCTCCTTAAAATATTTTCATCAATTTTTTTTTTTTTTTTGTTGCTCGGTCAAAAAAAAAAAACTTTTAAGCACGTGTGCAGTAAAGGATTTCAGTACATTTTTATTTAACACGTGTTTAAAGACTCACTTTCGGTGTTTATAATGGATTAAAAAAATAGCGCTTTATGAGCATTGAAAAATACTTTAAAAAAAGCTACATCATTAACGCTACAGTTACTTAGTATCTTTAAAAACAGAAAGGAAGATAATGAATATTTTTAAAAACCTTATTCAAAGCTGACACAAAAAGATTGATTTTAATTGGTACTTTTTCAATAATCTAACCTCAACTGTATTTATTATGACATACATATTGCTTTTATTTAGGAACTTTTGAACGCATGTATCCCCTATTATTCTTTACTAAATGCTATCCCGTATTTGCGTTTTCTGTATTCGCGGCATATTTAAGGAACGTATCCTCCGCCAATAAGGAGCTTCTATTGTATCTAATATATTTATATTATCCCCTATAACCAATATGTATGTATGTGTACTTACGGCAGGTTGCTGGCCGCGGGCGTGGAGGCGCTGTCGTCGGAGTCGCACCTGCGCTGGCCCGCGCACGTGGCGCCCTGCTCCGCCGTGCTCGTCGGGCCTAAGGTGAGACCACGCGTACAGGTGTACCCGCTCCGCCGTGCTCGTCGGGCCTAAGGTGAGACCACGCGTACAGGTGTACCCGCTCCGCCGTGCTCGTCGGGCCTAAGGTGAGACCACGCGTACAGGTGTACCCGCTCCGCCGTGCTCGTCGGGCCTAAGGTGAGACCACGCGTACAGTTGTACGGATATATAACAAACAGTTTTATCACCGTTCAAATTTAAATATAATTATCTTTGAGGAAATATAAGAAACACTTATTTTATTTCTTTCGGTACCGCCTGGAACAAAAATGTTGACATAGAGTATCTAGAAGTTGTGTGAAGAAAACTACAAACTACGCACAATTGGCTGTCAATGAAAAGAGCGCGGGAGGAACGGTGTCTGGTTCATTTAATGTTTGTACCTTTTGGAAGTGGATATGGACGTTACCCGGTAGTGGTCAACTGCTTACTAAGTATTAGCTTACATTAAAGCGACGTGCTGCATGCCATAAGCCATGGTCTAACAGTCTTTGGTTGACATCCAAAATCTTTTCTCTGTTAGACACCGAAAGATCCAACGGATTGTCCCCCCTGGTTCCGAGGCCGAGGAATGAGCTCGTCCAATCACCGACCTCTGACTGAATGAAGACCTCCGCATCTCGCACGAAATTCCCATTATCACCCATTAATTTTGTAAACCGACATTGCCTAATGATAGACCAATGTTATGTTGTACACTTTTAAATGACTTCGAAGAAAATAAAATAAATAGGATTGTTATCCCACAAAATCAGATCAGTAGTTTTGTTTTTATATCAAAATAACTGGAAGAACTAAAACGCCTTAATTATCTTAAAGAAGTAATCAACGTTAAATTTAATAAAATCAAATTTTGTATTTGAAAAATTTCGTCAAGTGGTTTGACGAAAATCAATTCTTAAATAGATAGAACATGCGAGTCCTGTAAACCAACGTAAGTGAGCCATTATGAAAAAGCTCTCAGGTCGGTGCATGACACTAGTAGTGTGAGTGTAAACACGCCTTTCCATACATTGATTGATCTGTCATTTTTTTTAAGATTGCTTCTACCCGCCTTTAGTGATAATTAAAATTAGCTTATGCTAATAACAGCTGTAAAAACTCGAGATAATTGTGAAACTACTTTAAAAATTAATGCATTAAAATTCAAGATTTTTATAATTTGACTCGTAAATATAGAAATAAATCTAAATGTTATTGTTAAGCTGTACTTTTACTAAAACTTTTTCTGTCAATAATCTATGAACTATGACAAAGTGCGATGAACAACTAAGTGATAGTCAATTTGGATTCCGAGCTGGAGTGGGCACGAGAGAGGCGTTGTTTGCGTTAAAAATGTATAGACATGCAGCAGGACATCTTCCTATGTTTTGTAGATTATGGGAAAGCTTTTGATAGAGTACGGTCATCTGATGATACTTCTCAATTATATAGGAACTATACGAGAGAGACAAACGTATAATAGAAAATCTTTGTTGGAACCAGCGAGCAACTCATGGTTGAAGGAGACGAATTCAAAGAGATAGAGTTTGGGAGGGGGGTACGACAGGGATGTATTTTGTCACCAACTCTATAATAGTCGATCATGTCAGGAGCTCTGGAGGGACTAGAATGCGGCGTTAAGATAAATGGGCGCCTTCTAATGTATGCCGACTGTAGAGGACTTGACATCCTGCTTGACCAATTATGCTACAGTCTAACTGATACACCGACGATACGGTTCTTGAAGCGTCTACAAAGGTCGACTTACAGAAAATTGTCGACCGTGTCAATGAGTGCAGTGTCAGGGCTGGCCTTAGAATGAACGTGGCTAAGGCAAAAATCATGATGATATCCAACAGTCCCAATATCCGACCAGCTATATTTGTAGATTGCCGAAAGCTTGACTAAGTGAATAAATATCTGGGAACCTGGTTAAGACAAAAATGGGACAGCGATATGAGCAACCTCGCAATTTTTATCCTGACATTATTTTAAGATTTAATTGCCTGAAATAAGTAAAAAATAAGCTATTTTTGAGATGTATTACGTCACTAGACGCGTTAGTAAAATTTGAGGTCAAATTGGACATGATTCTTTGGGAAGAATCTCCCCAATCTGGCAACAGTGCCGGCCGACCGATATGCAATTGCGCAACTACCCCGCTTCCCGCCTGCACCCACCGCTGCTCGCGCGTCTCTCTTCGTATCATTCATGTTTTTATTCATCTTGCGTCAGCGCTTACGATAAACTAAGTGACCACTCTAAATTAGAAATGTTATCACAAAAAATATTTTAAAGTGAAAACTTGACCTACCTTTCTTTTTAAAATAAAGGATGGTGATAAAAAAATCTTCCTGTATATACATTACCTACATTGCGTTGGTACAGTAACGCCACTTCATAATTTGTTCAGTAAACCTGTATCTGTCGACGTTCTTGGACGTATTATACGTATAAACAAGACCGAGCCTTCGCAAATGACAAGTGAGCCGAGTGGAATATGAAGTACGGACGGAAGCTATTTGTCTCTTTATAATAGCGTGACAATAACATTTTCTATAAATGTAACTTTCAGACTTTTGTGAAAGATTTTTTATGTATACCTATGTCACCGGAAAATAACAAGAACCGCAAATTGATAAATTTCCTAGGAAATTAAGCTTGCCGAACTCACGCGTAAAATAATAAGTGAGCAATAACCAAACGCCATGTGTGCTCTGATTGGTTGAATAAGTCACGTGTTACTTCTTTTTTCTCTCTACTGCCATTGTTCGCCACAAAACATAAACAAGCCGGTTTTAAAGTAAAAATACTATTACGCAGGTAATTGAATAATTGCAAGCCCTACTCACTACACCCGAGTCAGAGAAGGACCAATTTTAGTTTAGTAAGTCTGATTGTACCCAAATCTACGGACACCAATATTGCTACTGTCATCAGCAACTAAACAGAGTAGTGTATTATTTGCCGTAGAAGTGTATAATTAAAAACTCTTCTGTGATTCGTCGAATCGTTCAGAATCTTACGATTCTTATAATAAATTTATTGACAATGCGTGAGGCAAAACATAAGATACTATTAAACAAATATACATGATACAAAAAAAAGATTAAAAGTTCTAGTTTGGGTGGAATAAAACATTCATTTCTTACTTTGATATCAAGTCGATACAATACAAAAACTTGTTTTTGAACTTCGTCATTGATTCTGTAATAACTTAATGTTTTCAAATATAGCCTCTGATAACTTTAATTCTAATGGTGGAGATGGGTGGCGTAATGAAAAACTGGTGGAATTCTTCAGTCTTGATTATATTTACGAATATTATAACATTAGAACACAACGAAATATGTACTATGATATTCACTCTATGCCGGTCTCGATCAGAAAGAAAGATTGTCAACCAGCAAAACACGAACACGCTAATTCGAATACGAAAAAGTAATAATTTAAAATATTAACGGCCACCATTGACCATAAACCGTCCGAGGAGTAAACCCACCTATAGTTATGTGCACGGACTTTACAGTAGCATTATATAAAGGTGTTTCCAATAAAATTTACGATTTGAAATTTTTAACCAACGATATATTTTATCCTGGCAAGAAAGAACGAGACAGACGATTTCCGTTGATGCTATCCCTCTCGGCTGTGATTGACGTCTGTAGAATCAGCAAAGGAAAATATGCTTAACCGGATAGTAATATGGTTCACTATCGTAACTAAATTTTTTCGGAGCCATAATTTACTATTCGATTTCAGGTAAACGCATACGAACGAGAGAAACTAACTTTACAATAATATAGAGTAGTTTAGGTATTTAAAAACTTAATGAAATTACACAAAAATTAATATATACATTGAAATAAAAGTTTATTTCAAATAATTTAATAATATGTTATTAAATTACGAGTGATTTAAATTTTCTAACTAAATTCCAATCAAATAAACGAAAATTGAATGTAAAAATATATATATATATATATATATATATATATATATATATATATAAATGCACTCAAAAAGGAAAAATCTCTTGTATATAAACTTTTCACTGTTATTATTTGAAAAAATAGGAAAAATATAATAATATATTAATGAATTTGGTGTTAGGAGGGCTCGAAAGAGTGGCTGTCTCACAGCGACATGATCGAGCAAGTGTACCGCCAGCTCGACGCTGTGCCGGCGCTGCGCGGGGACGTGCTCGTGGACGACCGGCACCACCTCACCATCGGCAAGAGGCTGCTGATGGCCGACAGGTGAGGGCTCATATAGTCTATTGTTTAAACGCTATGCAGGAAAAGTCACTACCTAAGTCGAATTTCTCTGTGCTTCGGGGGGCATGTAAAACGGTCGGTCCTGGCTGCATCTTCGGGACGTTAACACCTATCGATCCGCACTGGGCCCGATTCAGTTATTAAAAATAGAAATTACTCTCTGATCAAAGATCAAAACAAAAAATATTTCTTTTCAAAATATCAGTTAATTTCTCTTTTAAGTGGTAATTAGTCCGTCCGTATGTCGCTTTTTCTGGCTTTTCTGCTCCCTCTCGCGTCGCCGTTTGGTTTTTTTTTCATATTCTTTTTGTTTTTTTTACCGATTTCAAAATCGTATAGGCAGAGGTTATATGTTCGACTCTGATGTATCTTTTTTCATAATATATCCTCAGCTCACATTAACGTCGCCATTTAATTTTATTTTACAGTATGAATTAATTCATTACAATTTCTTTATTCCCTTTTCATTATTCGTGGGGGAAATAATTATAATCCAATTTCTATGTTTGCGGATGCAATCGGCAATATATAGAAAGAAATCTGTAATCATAAGTAAAATATTGAAAATAATGTTTCTTTTTTTGGCCAAGCAGTTTATTTTATTTATTTTTTACATTTAGGGACATCAAACAGTCGTACATTAATCTTTACTTAATTAAAATAATGTAATGTGTTACCAAATGTACAACCCACACCAACAATCCTCGAAATAATACATATTATAGCAAAGAACGAGTGCGTAATTAAATATTAAAACTAATAATGGAACAAATGTTCATTCCATCCGAGTGGTGCACGCCGGTTTCAAGGTGCCGCCATCTCTGAGGTCCCGGGTTCGATTCCCGGCAGGGCAATGTAGAAAATGAACTTTTCTATATTGTCTCGGGTCTGGGTGTTGTGGTACCACCGTTGTCTCAGATACTCCATAATACGGGGGCTTTAGCTACTCATCTTGGAACCTGAGCAATGTATGTGATGTTGTTATATATTTATATTTATGTTTGAGAACATCGATAAATATGTCTATATCTACGAGGTGTGTATTAGACGGGAGTCTCAATGCCTTTCAAGAGAATCGATTAAAAATATATACAGAATTCCTTTAAGTCGACATATCAAACAAATGAAGCTGGCATGCCGCAAAGAACTATACTGGGACCTCTTTTGTTCCTTAAATACATAAATGATATCCCAAAAGTACGAAATTCCTTGTGATCCCAGACACAGACAAAAATTCAAAATATCAAGCTATTTTAGATGAAACAATAAAACTCATGACTCAATGGCTCGACCAAAATTGTTTAAGAGTAAATATATCAAAAACGAAATCAGTACAGTTTTCTAATTATAAAAAACAAACGGAAAATATTAGATATACGCTGTAATGGTGAAAGCATCGTGGAGGTGTCCGAGGCTAAATTCTTGAGTTTGACACTTGATTCCCAATGTAATTGGAAAGCCCATATAAAATTAGTTTGCACCGGAATCAACCGTTTTGTCTTTGCATTAAAAAAATGAGAAAAGTAGCTAATGAAAAAACCGCCCTTACCGCTTACTATGGTTTTGTGGCATCTGCATCGAGGTATGGGTTAATAGCGTAGGGGATTCGACTGATATAAATAAACTTTTTATATCACAGAAAAAGCGTATTAGAGCAATATGTGGCGCTGGGCCTTTGGATTCATGTAAACCTTTATTTATAAAGCTTGAGTTATTGACAGTCCCGAGTTTTTTATATTTTGGAGGTAGGTTTTTATGGTTGGAGGAGTTTTTGTGAGAAAGTATGCTAATTTATTCTAAAAGCTACCAGTTTTAATGTTAGTAAAAATATATAATAGAATTCAAAGGAACATAAGAGAACTTCCATTTAATTGCATTAAAAAGTAACTTACCGAATTGCTAAGTGATAGATGCTTTTATTCGATTAAGAAATTTATGCATAAATAATAATTAATGTAACTATACAATAATTATGACTTAATATTGATACTATTTAATTATGACGTCATCTACAATATTTACAATTCACTAATTTTGTCATTATACGGTGTGTTCAATAATTATAATAGCATAGATTTATTTTATAATTTTTGCTGAACATTTAGCGCAATATGCTGACCAGTGTACCCTACATTAATATCTATGAAACCATGTTTCTAACAAAATATATTATTATTAGCTAGTCTGTGTGTCCATCGCCTATTTCAGTCATTGTGTCAATCAATAATAACACTTGCTGACGAAGGATCTCTACAAATGAACTAAAGTCCCGACATTTTCTATAAAAAAACACAGCAAAAACTTTAAAAATAACATAGGATTAACAAAAAAAAACACATGGTATTTCGTTAGGATCATCGAATAAAGAGCAGGTAGACGAGTTGTACCCGAGGAGGAGATTGTACAACACACAAACGTCGACGGATTAGGCCACGTGGTCACAAAATAAAGGACGGATATTTTTTTCTATTAAAATTCTCAAAATTACACATTCTAATTGTATTAATGCTCGTTTTCATTAAACTAAAAGAGTCGCTCAGATCTGTCGCCTAAATATTTAGGTGAAAAAGCATTACACCAATTACTAGGTCTCAAATGTGTAAAGGGATAAAAGAAATGTTTATTTGGAATTACACTTTTCCTAGTTTTAACTTACACTTTTTCTTTGGAATTACACTTTTCCTAGTTTTAACTTACACTTTTTCTTTGGAATTACACTTTTCCTAGTTGGAATTACACTTTTCCTAGCTTAACTGATGTAATGCCCGTTTTCATTTAATCTAAGAGCCGCCGATATCTGATACCTAAATATTTCTTCTTTTGTTTTATTGGTACTTCGTATGACTTGGATATATAAAGAGAAATTTATTTCTGTTATTCGATATAATTGTTGTCCTTTACCTATGCATGCGTGAAAAAGAAATTGATGCAGTACTGCGATCTCTTCTCTCCCTCGTCTCTTTAACTGCGCCAAGTTTCCACTACAGTCGGCGTGTCTTCCACGGGCTCGATTAAGAGTGCTTTCAAGAAACTTTTAGTTGGATTATGTAGTATGCTGTCTATTCCGGTTCAGGTTGGGTTGCCCCCTGGTGGTGGTGCTGGGCAAGTCCGTGTCCTCTGGACAAGTGGAGGTGTACCGCGCGGGGGCCGACGGACAGTTGCAACCGGAACTGATGACCCTAGAACAATTAACACAAAAACCACTAGCTGTTGTTAATTGAATATAATTAAATACATGTATATACATATAGTCAATGTGTGTTATTTCATTAATACTGATGACTGATTTGTATATCATACATACCTACATTACCAGCCCTTTTTATGTCCACACTGCAGGGGCTCAGGCCTTCCTTATGGATGGTTAAGGAGGATGGGCCATGACCCTCCAAGCTGGCCCAATGCGGATTGGAGGATATTAACGACTGCAAATGCAGCCGGGACCAACGGCTTAACGTGCCTTCCGAAGCACGGAGTAGCTCGAGATAATAATTTTTTGGTCACCCATCCCGTGACCGACCCTTGCGAGAGTTGCTTAACGACTACGATCGCGGGACGCGGCGCTTATCCACTACGCCACCGAGCTACACCGAGCTATCAGGAAACTGACACACAGGTGAAATGAATTATTTCCTCAGTCAATTAAGCTTGTATGTAATCATTACGGAATATTCCATGATAATTTTCCCTGCCGTACATTCAGGACGTGTTTTATGTGACAAGAATAATGGACGCAACTCACAGGAGATTATTAAACTGTTATCAAAACGTGGTTTACATAAACTATTTCTTTACCAAATCACTATGTTTTACAATTATAAAAATAACTCACCTGCGCTGAGGTCCCGGGTTTAATTCACGATCGGGTCACCGAGAAAATGAATGAATATCTAGTGTCGGGTCTGGAGATATATGAAAATCGCAGTAAAGTGCCTTAGACTTGGCTTGGCTTTACTGAGTTCATTACATTTTATAGAACAGCTTAATTGAATCTTGGCTAGGTTTTTCAAAATCACCATACTATTCATGTGGGTACTGTTGGGCTCAGGCCTTCCCTGTGGATGGAATCGAATCAAATCAATTAGGGAGAACGGGCCATGACCCACCACGCGGACCCAGTGCGGATTGGTGGGTGATAACGACTGCAGATGAAGCCGAGACCGACGGCTTAACGTGCCTTCCGAAGCAAGCGGTTGTTTTTGTATCTTCGCTGTGATATGTTTTTATTTTAGTTTTATACTAAACTAGTATATCATAAGTAAACAAAATCATGTATTTAGGAACTTTTTAGGACTTTTGAAATTAAAAGTTTTTAATAAGATATTTTTATCTTTAGTAATATCTGTACAGCGTCTGGAGCTCTCCTTGCAAGATCCCCGATTCTCCCTCTCCCCCTAGTGCGGGTCATATAAAAAAAATGAGTACAAAATGTATATGTTTTGAATTACAACAAAAAATAATTAGATATTCATATAAGTACATATAATATTATCATTATTTATTTATTTTTAATAAATACTTTTAATAAATAAGTATAATTTTTGATATCTATTTTTTGTTTGGTTCTCTGTTGTTTGTACCTTGTAAAGACAGTTTAATAAACATGTGTTTTGTGCCTTTACAAGTTATTGTCAATTATACTGCTAAATTGTAAGATTTTTAATTATATTTAAATGCTCTGCTATGGATTTGAGAAAACTTATTGTGCGACCACTTTTAAGCTGGTTATGTTTTGAAAATGATGTGGTGAACGGTGTAGGTGTGCAATTATATCTCATCTGTTTGACTTTGTAAGTTCAATGTAAATTGTATCACTGTTTGTTTACCCGTGAAACAAAATAAAAAAGAAATACATGATAGTTTAGTATTCATACAATGGGAACGAAAACCGGACTAATGCGAAAGCCCCAGCAACATATTGAGCAACGTTAATCCTGTTTACGATATAAACAAGCCGGTTAATACTCGACAGGAGTGGGTACAGACGGATTACACACAGAGTGCCAGTTAGATTTTTTCTCACGTTTCGTTTCGCGTTCAGTCAGCGATCATCGGTCGCCGCCAGTGGTCTCGTGATCGTGCCGAGCGCGCGTTACTGACTATTGCCGATCAGCTTCATAACAAGTAAGTGCAGTTCTTTTTTCAAATCCAAGGTTATCTATTGTTTTATTTCTTAAAGATTAAAAAGGGACATGATGTACACACAAGGTGATAAGTATAAATCTTTATTTTTCTCGTTCCCATATTATTTTGATCACGCTCAAATAAACGTTAATTTGCGGAAAAAAGAGAAATACTAGTTTCTTTATGAGCGTATTTGTTTTTGTAACCACAGTACATCAAACTGTAGGTTTCAAACCGGTTAATTGTCTGAAATACTTATAGTTTATAAAAACGACAACATAAAAATAGTTTTAAATCATTCGATTCAGAAAATGATTAGTTACCGTCAACAAAGATCGATTAGATTACAGAATGTTGTTTTGTGAAATCCTAAAGCCTAATTTTAGCAGGTATTTTTTTAACAACAATTAACATTTTTAAGTTTCTTGATGTTGCTCAACAATTTTCATAAAAATAAGGTACTTTTGATGCAATAATAATGGAAGACGAGTCCATATCTATTTTTATTTACTGAAAAATTCACATTGATTTTTTTAAATTTTTTGGGCAGTTCTTATCTTTTGAAATTTGTCTGGAGTCGGCAACCTACCCAGCGTATTGTGTAGATTCGATTCCCGCTGAAATATTAAAACACAAACATTAATAGATGTATGAATTTTACATAATAAGCATAGTAAGTAATTTTCGATATTGACATTGTTTCAATCACGCCTCGACGTTAATTTGCGCAAAAAATAAGAACCAGTTTCTACAGAAGTACTGTGTTGGTTTTTCAACCAAAGTATGTACCAACAACGATCAATAAGCTTTTCAAACTATCGTCTCTTTTAAAATAGCATATTTATATCTACAATAAATGATTTTCAACATGAACTATTATAAATATGATTTGGTACATTTCATATTTTAAATAATAAATTTATAATATAATATATTTATAAATATATAACAAACACAAATAATACACAAAATTAATTACACAAATGGATGGATTATTAATTGTTCTTGTAGTGCTACCTGGTAGTTTGTGGATCTGCTCAAGATAAAAGAACGTTTTGTTTAATTCTCATTCAAAATATATAACTGTAAAATAATTTTCATGCTTATAAATATTTATATTTTTCCCTAGTGCCTATGCTTTTTTTATTTACCATACATAGATATCAAATACTCATCCATATTCATAACAAAGTGATAGACATAAAAGAGACAAATCCATTACCGGTAAACAAAGAACAACTTAACTGTATATTGATTACTGCGACCTTTCTCTGATATGCCAAAATGACAATATTTTTAATAAATTACTTGTAAAAAAATGCGTTGAAAAAATCCAACGCCACTAAGACTATGAGGTTGGAGAACTAGAGAAATACCCACTGAAGTTTATTTCTAAAAATCAACAATATGGAATAACTTCTAGAAATTGTATTCTTTAATATAAAGGAAACGATGAATATTTAGGTAATATCAATATATAGCTGAACTAAAATAATTAATGACTTTACAATAATCACAATGGTGTATGACACCAGTCTCGTAATGTTTTTGAATGTATCCGCCGCCCGGAAAGCGCGCGGTGCTTTAGTTCGATTCCTACCTGGAGTTGTGATTTTTTATTTATTTTATATTTAAACGCACGGTTGTTTATAATCTTCATGATCGGCTGACATTACTCTCAGTTATACGCAGACAGGTGATAGTCGCATAACGACATTTATCTTATCAGTATAATAATAAATGTGTCAAATCATCAACTGTCGATGGAGGATAGAAGTGAACAGAAGATGTTTGCTGCGATTCCGAAAGTTAAGAAATGTATGTAATGGTCAACCACCGGGTGAGTGATATAATTATAAAAAAAAACACGATCCAAACCTTTCTGGGTAAATGTATTGCTATGTTCAATAAAGTTCCACAAAATATAATTAACCTACCCTTAAATAAAATTTAAAATTCATATAAAGAACTTACTTATGAGTAAAGGCTATTATAACGTTGATTATTATTTTAAGTTTTGTTCTAAAACGACTAATTATATGTACAACCTGTGACCTACAGACTTTGAAAGTTGCATTTATTATTGTGATAATACGTATTATTTTGGTAATGACATGATTTATGTAAATGTCGTTACTTATGATAAAAAGCTGGTAAGTTTCTTTCGCTTGTTCTTCTTGTCATCTAAAAGACGTCCTGTACAAGTGGTAGGGGGAAAATATTTTTTTGGACAATTCAAAAGTGCTCGAAACAAGCTTACTCGAATAAAGACATTTTCATTTCATTTCAAAACCACTGGTGTGGTGTCTTACTGGATGCCTGGCCCCTTCTGAAATATATAATTATATTGTCAAGTCCTAATAGAAGGATGAAGAATAAATTAATGCATCATCTAATTGACTATCCAGTTCAAGGATGACTTCACGCATTATGTCTGGATCTAGATTACTATCTGCTGGCATACTCGTGATGAATTAATTAACCTTAAGAGTTTGAATCACGTTTAAATTACTTCACTTCGATATCATGAAATATTAAAAATATATTCCTCTTAAAAAATCTTCTTAATTAAAAATGCGTAAAAAAATCCAGTTTGTCCCTGCCACTCTGAGATGGGACTCGGACCTCTATAAAGTACATTGAGTGCTATAAAATACTTCTCGGTTAAATATAGAGCTTATAAAGAAAATGATAATGTTGTAACAATGTTAATGTTGTTAAAATCGAAAGTTGTTTCATTGACTTTTATTATAAGATGCATTTGAAAATGAAGGTACTTTACTTTTTATTTAAAGAGAGGTGATAAAGCCGCGCGAGATACGATATCTACGTTATTTCATGTGGTACAAATGCTACAGATTCACAAACATGCGGTATTAGTTTATAATTTAGTACTTACTTGACATACCAATAAGATTTATGTAATTAGCTATTCAAACACTACGAGGGTCAAACTGAAAGTTCTTAGAACTGGCCACTTATAAACAATATAATAAAAAAATAATTCTAAAATTTGAAAATATAACCCTTTGCCAATATTACTGAGTATATATTTCATTCATTTGTCATTTGTTTTACGATTTGGCGGCAAATTGAAAATTGTCTGTGTCACGTCATCATGAATTTAACACGAGAAAATTTTCGTGCAATGATTTTTTATGACTTTCGATGTCATTTAAGTCAACAAGAAAGTTATGATAGACTACGATTGGCCTTTCACGATGAAGCCCCATCTCGTGCGACTGTTTACAACTGGTTTAATGAGTTTAAACGTGGTCGCACTAATCTCACTGATGATTTACGTGAGGGACGGCCTTCTACGGCGACGACTGAAGATAACATCTGTGTTGTGCGGCGTATGATAGAGACTGACAAAAGAGTGACCTATCAACAGATTCGGACAAGCTTAGGCATCGGTATGAGTCAAGTGCACAAAATCCTCCACGAACATTTAGCGGTCAGGAAGCTTTGCGCCCGGTGGATACCTCATAATTTGACTGAGGCTCAAAAACTCCATCGTGTGGATTGGTGTCGTAAAATGATTGAAAGATTTAACGGAGGTGACTCAAATGCTGTGTTCGACATACTAACAGGTGACGAAAGCTGGATTTACTGTTATGATCCTAAAACCAAAAGACAATCTGCTCAGTGGGTGTTTCCTTTCGAGGAGTTGCCAACTAAAGTGAAGAGAGATCGAAGTGCGGGAAAAAAAATGGTGGCCTCGTTCTTTGGAAGGATAGGTCATTTTGCAACAATTGTGTTAGAGGATCAAAAAACAGTTTCTGCAGAATGGTACACTACCAATTGTTTGCCACTTGTCTTGGAAAAAGTTCGAGAGAAACGACCTCGCAGTAGGATCCTCCTTCACCACGACAACGCCTCGTCGCACACCGCCAAGCGAACGATCGACTATTTGGCGACATCAAACGTTGAATTACTGGGTCACCCGCCGTATAGCCCCGACCTCGCGCCTTGTGATTTTTATTTATTTCCAAAAATTAAAGAAAAACTTAAAGGAAAGCGGTTTATGAATGCTGAAGAAGCGGTGGCTGCGTATCGCGATGCCATTGAAGAGACCCCTAAGGACGAGTGGGCAAAGTGCTTTTCCCAGTGGTTCCATCGCATGCAGCGGTGTATTGACGTGAATGGACAATATTTTGAAAAGATATAATAAAACTAATAACTGGCTAATGTAATCAGTTTTTGATTTTCTAAGAACTTTCAGTTTGACCCTTGTATTAACTAAAAAGTTCACCAAAATTCGTCAATTAATTATTCACAATATTATTTATTAATTTGAATATTGAACTATAAGTAAATATAGTCATTCTCTTGGCACTTAAAACTGAATATGATCGACAATATCCTAATATCTTAGTAACAATTTTATGACACATATAATTGTTGTGCAGACGCGTATTAAGCGCCCTCACTGGGCCTTTGCGGACCCTTTGTCTTAAACTACTGATAGTTTATTAGTTTGTAACATTTCGTGTACTCAGTTCGTTAGATAATTTCTAATCTATATAAGCCTAATTAATTACCTTATATATTTTTTTTCTCTCTACATAACATTATTTACTCGGTGTCGACCTTCCTTGTCCATTTTCTGCATTATTAAGGATGCGACAGTTGGATGCGTTTTTTTTTTAGTTCTTGCATTAGTTTGTTTCACGCATGCACTTCACTACTGACACTCTAGTTGTGCAAATTTCATCAATATGATCGGCGAAATCTTAAAAAAAATCTCAATAGTTTCTCTATGAACTTAAGAGTTAATTTAAAACACAGTGTTTATTTGTATTTAAGGTAAAGTAGGTATAGGCTTCTTCAATTTTAATGTTCGTAAACATTTTAAGTTGCAGTTATTAATTGTACTCTTCTAAATATATGAAGATTATATATTAGTATATTTTTTTATACAAATATCAAGATATTATTTCCACGTAAAATATATGAAAAAATGGGTTAGTCAGTTTTGAGATGAGCCGCTCCGGAGC